CAAGCAGATAAAGGTTTCATACAGTGTAGTGAGGGAGGTCAATGATGTTTGCAAAATTTCTAACCTATGTGGATTTTTTCCTCCTTTTCCTTGATATGGCAAAGTCACTTCATGGAGTTCCCAAACTCCCTGGATACCAGGTAACTGAATTCCTATTACTGTGTAACAGACCAGACTCTGGTGGTTACTTGAGACCACACTCCCAGTCTTTCCCCATTGAATGGAATGTCTGCTTGCCTGTTTCAAAACTTACTAAATCTATGTCGTAGTTTTAGCAAAATACATCATGCACTGTAACATCAAAACATGTTTTTTCCTTTTCATTTTCTATTAATCTACATTAAAATATCAATTGTTTCTTCTAAAAAAGAAGATACTTACATTCCTCCTTCTTTTTTGATGTTACTCTTGTCTTAATACTGGTGCATTAAAATCTCTTTACTGAGCATTTACAAAAGAGGACAATTTTTTTTTAACCTAATGGTGTAAATTGTACATGAATAAAGCAAAGCTTCCAAGAGAACTTTCTTCTAGTTTTAGCTCTTGAAATTTTGAGTAAACAACCAAAATTCAGGGAAAAGTGTGTTCCTGATGCTTTGCAGTTTTGTGAAGATTTTAATCCTTGCACATAAAAGGAGATTATCAGGTGGATTCTTCAGCATGCATTGAAGTAGACAAAATAGGGGAAGATAACTAGATGGCTCATAAGTGAGTGAAAATATTATTCAAAAAATGCAAAACAAAAATTTAATGTTAGTGAAACCTTGCTTTCTAAGGCTCTACATATCTGTAAGCATTTGAAGACATACAAACCCCTGGGAAGCCATTTCACAACAATTTCTGCTGTTTCCTGTGGCTAGAAGCAATGTTGAGATTCAGTTTACTGCTGACATGCTCACATTTCATGTATACAGTGCTGGTCCTCACTGAAGAAATATAGAGAAGTCAACTTAAGTGTTTGTAACATACAAATCAAAATATCTTCCACATAAAATAATAGTTTGGTACAGATTTTCTGAAAGAAAAAAACAAACCAAGCCAAAACGAAACCAATCAAAAAACCAAACAGCCCAAAACCCTTCAGGAAAACATAACACCCTCCCCCCAACAAACTACATGCAGGAAAACTTAAATGGGAAATTAATTAAGAAAAACTACAGGAAATTCTTTCAGAATTATTATGGTTAAGTAACTTGCCATGGTTGGCCAGTGGCTTTATACATTATTAAGCTATTCATTATTTTCTAGTATATATATAGGTATATACTAGATATATAGTATATATATATGTGTATATATATATATTATATATATATATAGCATATATATCTAGTATATATATATTATATATATACATCTAATGTATATTTTTGTGTGTACATATATATATATGTATATATATATATATATACACACATGAAGTCTTGCTTAAAAGGGTTCCAGATGATATGTAGGCCCAAAACACATATGTAAAAAAGGAGAAAGACTACTGTAGTGGGCATATGTTTTCTGGCAATTATTTTCACTATAAGCTGTACTTGGTTAAGTTTATTTATAATGTACTGTCATATAAGTTCCCAGTAAAGAGTGAACAGCATCAGAGGAAGAAGAGATTAAGAGGATTTAGTATGACTCACTGAAGGAAGTAAACCAAAATCAAATTATAGAAGATCTGTGAACATGCTTGGAAAAAAATATTGCTTCCAAAAGGTAGTCTATATATTCCCAAAATTGACAGGCAAAAAAAAAAATGTAGTGCTGTAGGCAAAACAATACATTAAGGTAGAAAATATTTGTTATGAATCTGAAAGGGCAACAAAAGAGGAAGACAAATACAGGTTCCTGTTATAACATCTGGAAGAAAAAGTGATGTGGCAATGTTGGAAAGAGGTTCCATGCTGCGCGGCAGGTAGCAGGAAAGAAGAGGGCAAAGTTCACAAAAGTGACTCCGAAGGCTCCTCGCTTTTCGGAAACACGGTACCGGGAGAGCGCAGCACCAACACACTCCAAAGATTCCTGGAGTCGGCAAGGCCGGGCAAGCCCCAGCACAAGGGCGAAGTGGGCTGCAACCCTCCGAGGAACGTGGGACTGCACACACCGAGCCCAGATCTGCACCACCGCGGGGACCTGTTAAAACACCATACACAGCTCTGGGGTCGTGGCAGGACGGAGGGGACGAAGCAGAGAAAAGCGGTTCGGGGGAAGCGAGGGGCTGGGGAATGCGAGCGAGGCGGGCGGAGCGGGGACAGCAGAAGCGGAGCGGGGAGGGCGCGGAGGAGCCGCCGGGCCCGGGGAGGAGCCCGGCAGCGGCCAAAGGGGCGGCGGCGCAGGCGCGGCCCCACGCGCCGTGCCCGCCCCT